AAATGGCCTCAGAGTCGCCCCAGGAGATCCAGAACACCCAGGAGCGTGCGGTTTGGGATGGCGAAGAGGACGAGTGGAGAGCCCCGACCCTGGTCTGGCTTGACTTTAGGGTTCCGTTTTTAGGGTTCTTTTGGGTTTAGGGTTTAAGGGCTTGGGGGTTTGGGGTTTTAGGGTTTTAGGGTTTTAGGGTTTAGGGTTTTGAGTTTTGGGTTTGTCTGGCTTGACTAGGGTTTTAGGGTTAGGGATCCTAGGGTTCCTTTAAAGGGTAGGGTTTTAGACTTTAGGGTGCTAGGGTTTTCCTTTTAAAGGGTTCCTTAAAGGGTTCTATAAGGGCTACTATAAGGGTTTAGGGTTTAGGGTTTAAGGTTTTAGGGTTTGGGGTTTTAAGGGTTTCCTTTGAAAGGGTTCCTTAATGTGTTCTATAAGGGCTACTATAAGGGTTTAGGGCTTAGGACTTTGGGTTTTGGGGTTTAGGATTTGGGGTTTTAGGGTTTCGGGTTTAGGGTTCGGGGTTTGGGACTTTAGGGTTTAGGGTTTGGGGTTTTAGGGTTTGGGGGTTTAGGGTTTGGGGTTTTAGGGTTTGGGGTTTTAGGGTTTAGGGTTTGGGGGTTTAGAGTTTAGGGATCATGGGATATAGATGAGTACTTGTAGGGTTATGAATGAGGTAACAAACTAGTCATTGTTGCTTCTAGCCCGAAGATACACGAGGTAAGTAGAAATGCAATTAGATTTATCCGATGCAAGCACTCGCAAGCGTACTTGCTAAAGTTATTTGCCTGTCTTTTGATAGCGCCAAACCATAGTTTGAATTGGGTGGTCAACAAAAACGGAACACCGCTGGAGAGTACCGGTATAGTGTGGTATGGTGGCTTTGCGGGCTTTCTCCGAGGTTTGTACAAAGGTTGTACAACGGCTTTACGGTTTCTAATCTGTTCTTAGGGTTATAGGCCCTAAACCCTAAACCCTAAAACTCTAAACCGTAGGGGCATCAAGGGTTTAGGGCGTCTGGCTTGAGTTTGCTGCCGTAGTTTTCGAAGTCGCGAGGGCGTGCGCAGTTGACGAGGGTTTCTGTGAAACGATGCGAGCTTATAGTAGGAGCCCCTTAAGGAACCCCCAAAACCCCGTTCTAATTATCAAGGCCCCTACATTATCTAGGGTGAGAGTTTGAGGTCAGGATTTTGGGGGCTCGGGCTCCGAGTTTAGGATTCTAGAGCTCCGGGTTGAATCAGGTGTAGGGTGTAGGGTTTAGGGGGTTTAGGAGTTTAGGTGTTTAGGGTTTAGGGTTGAGGGGTTTAGGGTTTAGGGTTGAGGGGTTTAGGGTTTAGGGTTTCAAAGTTTAGGGGTTTAGGAGGCACAGCACAGCCACTGATACTAATTAGTTACTAGATCGTTGTCCCTGCACCAAAGCCCCAAAGCCAAGATCCAGCCGGTGACTTTGGACAAGGACACGGCAATGCGTGCAGGTTGCGGGACTTCAGATCGAAAGCCCATGCAATAAGGAGTAGGCCTTAACCCTAAACCCTAAACCTCTACACCAAAACCCTAAACCCTAAACCTCTACACCAAAACCCTAAACTCTAAACTTCTACACCAAAACCCTAAACCCTAAACCTCTGCACCAAAGCCTTAAACCCTAAACCCTGAACCTTGACAAGCCGCAGAGCCCTAAAGCCTCCTCTCGTATTGGGTTGTCAGCACCATCTGCCTTGAGAAGGTGCTGAATGAAAGTCGAAGGACAAGCCATCTGTAGGTGGTGTGTCTGAAAGTTGCTCTGCATCATACCTCAACCCAATGCCTAAACCGACAACCCGAGCGCAAGCATGCTAGATCGTTAGTGTAACAACTAAAGTCACTAGAAGCGACGGAAGCATCTTGACACCGAGGCTGGTCGCACTCTTATTGCTGAAGCTTCGTGCCATTAACTCTTGCCAGTGTCACAGTTTGTCTCATACGAGTGGCTTGCTACGTCTCCTGATGATGACGATGACTTTCGGCATCACCACCAACAGCACCATCAGCACACCATTATCACTACATCATCGTGAGGCCATTGTTGCGATTCCTTGTTTTCGGCCTCACGTTTGTCTTTATGCCCAAGGTCCTACTTACTCTTCCTTGTATGCATGATGCTTCCTGTTGGAAGCTTCGTCGTTCGGCGCTTTCGCCGTTTCGTAGCACTTACTACTCATCTGCAACAGTTTTTCCTGCAAAATCCGCGGGCCTTAATGGCTTGAGCCGTAACCTAAACCCTAAGCCCTAAACCTATGCTTTTGGGTACCCTACTATCGAGTTTTAAGATGATGTACGCAGCAACCCGATACCATCTATTCAAGGCCCCCCTAATGCCGCTGCCTGCCATGTGAACTTCCTTGTCATTCACTAGCTTCGGGACCCCAAAAGCATTATACAGGGATATCCCGACCTTATTGGGCTTCAGTATGGGGGGGGGTTTATATGGGGACATCCCTACTTGGAGGTTCATGGGTAGGGTAACTATAATTATAACCCGATTAGGGGACTTATAACCCCACTTATAACTACACATGAACCTCCAAGTATCCTAATTTTTGCTTCTGTGCTTTTCTGGGGCGCTATCACTAGCCGTCCTCGTCGCGCTGTTCAGGAGAATCGCCCTAAGCGGCCGAACTCGGTCATGGGGCTGCCCAGGCGATCTACGGGTTAGATGGGCCGTCAGGTGAGTTTTCATCGACTTTTTTGAAAAAAGAACCAACCGAAAACCATTCTGAATCCCGATAATGACGACTTTCATACTCCGAACCTTTGTTCTAACTCTTGATTGCCGTCAAACCCCTAAACCCTAAACCCCAAGCCCCTAGACCAACACTTAGGCCCGACTGAACCCCTACCGTAGAGGCCCCATCGAAAGGTGTCCCAGTGGGCCCCTGTTCCCTTCTGTGGTTTCATGCTCCTTATGACACCATGAGGCTGCCCAATTCTAAAACGGCAGAGCTCTTTTGGATTGCCAGATTACTGGGGCTCCTGGTCTTAATCAATCACTTGCGTCTATAGGGCCAATGTAGAGCTTAGAGTTGAAGAGTGAGATAGCTAGATGGATGAATACCTATGGGGGTTTCCGAAAAGAGGGGACGCTCATCTAGTCCCCTAAATAGTAGGATTCTTATTATAAGGACACCCAAATAAGGTACCCCTTAATTTCGAATATATATATATATATGTGTTAGATTACAGGAAGGATTATAATATTGACTTCGCCAGGCCATAGAGCCATAGAGGTCAAGGTGTAGCTATGGTCTCCATCGTAGTTCCTTTTTGCTGGTTTGCATTTCCAGATCCGAAATATACATATATGCATGTATACATGCATGTATGGGCGTATGTATGTAAATATGTAAGTGTGTGTAAGTAAGTAAGTAAGTAAGTAAGTAAGTAAGTAAGTAAGTAAGTAAGTAAGTAAGTATGTATGTATGTATGTATGTATGTATTTGCTTCAGCCGGAAAGGAACTACAATGAAGACTGTAGGTGTCCCTCTAAATCCTAAGCCCTAAGCCCCTACATCCCTAAACCCCCAAATCCTAGACCTTAAACCTCCAAATCCTAGACCCTAAACCCTAAACTACAATGGAGACTGTAGGTATTCCACAAGAAAAGGGCTATGAGGGGCTTCAGTTCCGAAAGGCTTCCACTCCTGGAGTGCCACCAGCTGCTTAGGGAGTTGTGGGTTTAGGGTTCGGGGTTCAGGGTTCAGGGCTTAGGATTAGGATTTAGGGTTTAGGCTTGAGGATTAGGGTTTAGGGTTTAGGGTTTAGCTGCTTAAGGAATTGTGGGTTCAGGGTTTAGGGAGGATCCAAAGAGTAGATCCCTTACAGGGGGTTCTTATTTCAAAACAGCCTTCTAGTGAAACCTAAACCCTAAACTCTACACCCATAAGGGCTTATCACTTCCCCGACCCCGACCCCTGCTTTCATAGTGTAGGGTCTCAAAGTGTGGGGTTCTTTTTTCTCGAGCCTTCCAGCAGTCTGGGTTAGGGCCTCAGTCAGAAGATTCTTACCCTGAGCTCTAAACCCTAAACCCCTAAACCCTATACCCCTAACCCCTAACCCCTAAAACCCTAAACCCTAAACCCTAAACCCTAAGCCCCCTAAACCCCTAAGACCCTAAACCCCTACAACCCTAAACCCCCCAAAACCCAAGAGAGGTCTTTTCAGGGGTGCTAGGAGGCTTCCAGAGGGAAAGCTCCAGACCTCCCTAGCCAGGGACCCTAACCTTCTAGGATCCTTAAGGGAGGGTGGGTTTAGGGTTTAGGGTTTAGGGTTTAGGGGGGGAGGGTCCTAGGGAGCTTTAGGGAACCTAAGGGAGTACTAAGGAGAATTGGGGATTACTGTGTTATAACATACCCCCCTTTAGAACCCTTTCCCTTAAGGATTCCATAATAACCTCTAAACCCCTAAGCCCCTAAACCTCTAGAAAACCTACACCTTAGGGTCCAGGGTTTAGGGTTTAGGGTTTAGGGCCTAAAATAAGCCCCTAAATCCCTAGAAAACCTACACCTTAGGGTTTAGGGGTTTTAGGGTTTAGGGTTTAGGGTTTAGGGCCTCAAATTAGCCCGTAAGCTCTAAAGCCCCAAAACCCTGAAGCCCTATAGCCCCTGCCGCAGACCTCGTCGCAGAGAGTACCGACTGAAGGTTTCAGGTAATTCGGAGGGGTCTGAGGTCAAGAGGTTCAGGTTGTGGGGTTTAGGACTTTAGGGTTTTAGGGTTTGGGTTTTAGGGGTTTTGGGGTTTAGGGTTTGGTCTGGCGTAATCCCATTTAGGGTTAGGGATTATCATTCGCGCTAAACCCTACTTGGAGGTTCATGGGTAGTTATCAGTAGGGTTCTTTAAGGAGGGTAACTATAACTATAACCCATACTAGGGGACTTATAACCCCACTTATAACTACCCATGAACCTCCAGGTAACCCCGAAACCCTAAACCCTAAACCCCTAAACCCTAAACCCTAAACCCTAAACCCCCATCACCAGGCCAACTTCTGAATTCGCCCGCCTGAACCGGACGATGGGGGACTCCAATCCCAGGCCGGAGCCTTAGTTTCTTAAAGGAAGGGTTTAGGGTTTAGGGTTCAGGGTTTAGGGTTTAGGGTTCAGGGTTTAGGGTTTAGGGTTCAGGGTTGAGGGTTTAGGGTTCAGGGTTTAGAGAAACCTTCGAGAGAACACCCTAAACCCTCAACCCTAAACCCTGAGCTGTTTTTGCTCGTCTAGATGAGTAAAACCCCAAGGGAATATTGAACGTGGTATTGGTATTGCAACCAGATTCCATGGGATTGTACAACATCGTATTTTTACTAAACAAAAAACTCCACGGGATTGTTGAACATATTGCTTAAGTTGGGTTCTAAGGGCCCTCAAGTGAACCCTAAACCCTAAACCCTAAACCGTCGGTGGCTTCCTTTTGTCGGCTTCGGAGTTCCGGACGGGTGTGTCGGATTTAGGGTTTAGGGTTTAGGGTTTAGGGTTTACGGTCAGATTAATGTAGGAACCTGACTGAGAAGCCCTGGCCCTAAAACCCCCAATATATGCGATATCAGGTTCCTACATTAGCAAGTTTTAGGGTTTAGGGGTTTCGTCTCTGAGCCCTGAACCCTAAACCCCTAAACCACAAACCCCTAAACCTAAACCCCCAAATCCTAAACCCTAAACCCCTAAACCCGAAACCCGTAGTGGCTTAGTGGTTTCGGTTGAGTGCGAGCTTTCCTTCCCAGGGGGTCTGGGGTTCATGGTTCATGGGGTTTGGTAGGGGTTCTATGCGGTTTAGGGTTTGGGGTTTAGGGTTTGGTTCGATAAACATACTAGTTGCCGGCATTTTAGGTTCTGTAGGGCGGTTAGCATGGGGATTAGGGTTTACAGCTCCGATTGCTGAATTTCTATTTGCTATGACGTATCTGGCTTTGTTATCTTGTGTTTGCTGACATATTCTACTGGAGCCGCTGGTGTTTGGAATACTTCCGCTTTTGCCATGTGTTTCTTACTCTTGTCCTTTGGTCCTATTCCATAAAGGTGTTTTGTTTTCGCAGCTGAACTTGCCATCGCACATTTCTATGAACACGAGGGTGTGATCCCAAGATTGACTGATTATCGTTGCTCTATAATATGCTCGCCGTGGTGGTTAGTCGCGCTATAACCTGTGACAACCAGTTGTAAAAGTTTTGGAAAAGGTTGTAGAAGTCACAACACTGATTGAAGATTTGACAAATCGGGCATCTCTTTCAAGAGCTACATCATGATCACGTCCCCTGCTCCATTTGGGGCTTTTTGAATTAGCGGTGCCTTGATTTATTCCTATGTCTCTATACAGGCTCCAATTATTTGGGGTTTGCAAGTCCCATCTCTGCCAACGTCGAACCCTGAGCTTAAAGCCTTCACCCCTAAACCCTAAACCCTAAATCGTAACCCCTAAACCCGAAACCCTAAATAACCGTAACCCCTAAACCCTAAACCCTAAAACCTAAACCCTAAACCCTAACAAGGTACATGTACGACAACATTGTCTTCACGGACCTGGACTTGTGTCGCACTTAGAACCTGGGTCGATCCCGACCGAAGCAGCCCTGGCAGAGGGTAGTAGGGGTTTGGGTTTAGGGTTTAGGGTTTAGGGTTTAGGGTTGAGGTGGAGTGGGGCTTAGGATCTATCTTGCTGGGGGATCCGTCTAGTGTAGTAGGAGTTAGGGTTCTGGTGCATACGGGGCAAAGACTCGCAACCCTAAGCCCTAAACCCATGCAAGACTCGCAACCGACAACCGTGACGGCTTGAACTTAAATCCCAATCCATAGTCCTGCTATGAGTGCTTCTCTAAATTCGGGTCCCTTGGAAGGTCCTTTTTATCATGGTGGTGTACTCTGCTGGGAATCCAAAAAGGGACCCTAATTTAGAGACGTAGCTATATCCTAAACTTCAGGGCGTGATAGGCGGAAGAAGGGCCCACAAACAAACTGGATTCTGGTAGAGGAGCTTGTAATTTAATATTTAAGTTACCATAATCGGGCTCTATAGTAAATGATAGTGTTCCTTCTTCTGGTAGCCCCAAAACCAGGGCTTCAACGTTCCGAAATAAAACGCTACATGGGTAGTTCTCTAAATTAGGGTCCCGGGTAAATAGTACGGCACCCTTATAAGAAGGATGCTAAAAAGAACCCTAATTGAGAGAACTACCTACATGTGACCCTCGAAAACCCAATAGAACCCTCTCAGCAAAGCTAGACAAAGAACTTCTCGACAGCAATCAACGCCCTCATTTCAAGCCTTACTGCCCCTAAACCCTAAACCCCAAAAACCCTAAACCCTGAACCTTAAGCCCCTAAATCTCAAACCCTAAACCCTAAACCAAAAACCCTAAACCCTAAACCCTAAGCCCTAAACCAAAAAACCCTAAACCCTAAATCCTAAACCCCAATGTCTTGCTTGTTGTTTTGCGATCGCCGATCAGGCCAGAGCGCACCACAGAAGACTACGAGGCCAGGAGTAGCGGTTCAGGGGCTCAGGGTTTAGGGTTTAGGGTTTCGCGTTCAGGGTTTTGGGTTTTGGGTTTTGGGGTTTAGGGTTTAGGGTTTTTGGTTTAGGGTTTAGGGTTTACTAGCTTTAGGGGCTCAGCGTTTAGGGTTTAGGGGCCTGAGCAAGTTTCCGACCTTACGGACGATTTCACAGCGTGCATAAAGAAACAAGCCCGGGACTTTTTTGCGATTGGCGGGACCTGGGAAAGGCTCGCCAGACCGTGTTGATGCATG